CGTCCCCCACCCCCGGCCCCGCCGGCAGCCCCAGCCCCTACCTGCCCTCCCAACCCGCCCCAGGTAAGCCGCTCGCACCCCGTGCGCGGAGCGCACTCCCTGGGACCCGGCGCGGGTGGCGGGAAGGCAGGACCTGTGGCTTCAGAGGCTTGGTGTGGCTCATCCAGAAGGTGTTAGTGGTGAGACGGGCCCTCCACTTGCTTGGTTCTCAAAGTGCAACTTGTAAGATGCAAAATACTTTCCGTGAAAGTGCGTAGATTTCCGTGGCAGGACGAGTGGATACCAAGGTAGACTGCCAGTGGACGGATCCTGGACTTTGGAGAGTCTCGCTGAGCGTGGATGTCTGGGTTTGGGCTGTGTAGCTCTACTGTAGACCTGGGTTTTCACTCCCCGCAATTGGGAAGGCGGGTGTCTACCCCAGGGAAACTTGAGCGTGGGAATACCGGGTCGGATCAGGGCAGGAAGGTTTGTTGGCAGGCACCTGTCTTGAAAAATACTAACATTTACATGGGTTGATTGGCAAAGCAGTGTTGTGTTCCCGTTTATCCAAAATCTAAGGAGATGGAATTACAGTACTGGTGTATTTGAGGTGTGTAACCTAAAGTTCAAAAAGCAAGAACTGCTCAAAGTCACCAGGAGCTGCATGCAATAGGGTTTGAGCTCCATTTACCCCTTAAGCACCAACCCACGCCCGCAGGTGGCACCTGCGGGGCTCCGTGATCACGTCCCAGGTGTGTGGGGTACAGGCAGTGCAGTTCCAGGCGGTTTCCCTGCTGAAGCAGAAACTAGAAATACTACCCAGGAATGTTCTCCCTTCCTAATACAATGCAGAAGGAGTGGGGTGCAGCGAGGAAAATCACAAAAGCTTGGCAGTTACCCCTCCTGGAGCTGGTCCTATCAAGCAGGCAGCCATTCTAAGGGCATCATGTTGTTCTCTTGGAAAGAAAAGAAAAAAGAAAAAGATTTAAATGAATTTGGCAGCTGTTGCTCAAAATGTCCAACATTCCTAGCCAGCTTCAGCTTTGTTATGTGAGTCAATTTCTTGCCCTGCACAGATGAAGGCTAGAGTTCTCCGGCTTCCCCACAGCAGGAAAGCAGATGGTGTGGAGCAAGCCTCTGGGACCAGGGCTAGTTGAACCGACCTTTATGATTTCTGTGGCTGCAGAGCTACACTCCTGGGTACAGGCAGGTCCTGGTTTACTCAACCCTGAGAAGCACCGGATTCCTAGCAAAGCAAAACTCCAGTTGTTTCGCTGACTCAGTCAAACAAAATTGGGCTGTTTGCCTTGTGTGTCTTTGACTTCTAGTGCATTCTGTGGTATCTCAGAAGCAATTCTTAGAAATACCAACATGTTATTTTGAGTTAGACTTTAATGACCATTGTTAGTAGCCACCATTGAAGCGCTAAAGCATAAACTGCTATGAGCTTCTACCATCCCCTGGGGGGAGGGAGGGAATGACAGTTCTATGACACAATTCACAATTACCTTTTCAAGTTGAACCAGACTCCCCCTAATCAGCGGTCCAAGGATAACAAACTAAAACAAGCAAACAAAGGTAGTTTAAGAAATTACTTCCGATTCTTGGAGGACAAATGCAAATATTTTATTTACCTATTAGCATTCCCTGTGACCCTGTACTTCCGAAAAGAAAGACCACTAAGATTAAAGCAAATTGCAACGAAGTCCATGAATTTCTTTATGAACCTCCTCTGTCAGGTGCAGGTCTAGACCCTGGGAATTTGTGCTTGAAAAAGCACAGAATTCATTGAGGGGTTTGCTGCTGGACTTGGGGAGCTATTTGGGAGGTGGGAGGGAAACTGAGGCAAGAGGGCCTCCCTGGGGCCCTGAAGGTCAGTTGCTCTAAAAGACCTAGGATTCTGCAGCCCACTGGCAGCTCCCAGGGAGTGAAGCATTTGCTTTTCTTGACTTAGAACCAGGGACACATGTCTTAAAAGAGAGAGAGAGAGAGAGAGAGAGAGAGAGAGAGAGAGAGAGAGAGAGAAGCCAGCTGGAGTCATGCACCTTGCACCCAGACAGAATAAATTCAGGACCAGATGGATAGCCAACTGATCCTTCCTGTTAGAAGGGCTGTTAATGTCCCTGTCATGGGAGGGAAGGAATTCTGTGACCATGACCTGAAGGTTGACCCAGAAGTTTTAGAGTTCAGAGCTGAGTACTGGGGGCTTTGGCTTTCTGTCTAGTCACAACTCTAGTCACAAAGAGGCTCCTGCCAAAAGGAGGCTTTTTTTCCCCTCCTCTCCTCCCTCCAAGGCAATGAATGCACTAAGGCACCTACAGGCCTAAGCTACGGGCAGTCCCTTGGTGCTATCTGCATTCCATGTGCTCACTGCTGAGGTGCCCCTCCCACACAATACACAAAGTCTGTGTGGCCTTGAAATTGAAAGATGTACTGGCATCTCAGAAATAAGCCTCTATAAATGACTCCATGGTTCTGTGGGTTCCTGAAGTGAGATATTTCACATGAAACCAAAGCACACAGCAAACCTGAGAGAATGTCAGAATCCCCAGGCCAGTGTGCTGTGGCCACTGGGTGGGGAATTTTTTTTTTCAAGTTGTCCCACACGGAACAGCTGTGCCCAGGGCTGAGAAGACCACTTTTAGAATTGCTTGTGAGTTTTCTGGTCAGCTCCACGGCAGCATTCTGTGGTGCACGACTGCCCCCTGCAGGTAGCATGTGGAACTGGCTGCTTTTCCGTCTGTGGAAGGGCTTGGTTAGTGTCTGCTTGCCTTCACTTGCAGCTGTTGAGTAAAAACACCAGGCAGAGTAACTTTCAAACAGATGGCTTCCTGAAGCAAAGCCATAGGAATGCAACAGGTAGTATTCCAGAATGCTTTATCTAGATACCTTTTTCTTAACATATTAAGAACTGTTGAATGGTGTTGCCTTTTAGGTATGACGTGGTTGCCAATAATGACCATTTCCTTATCCCCATGTTCTTTTCCAGGAAACACCAGTGAGTCTGAGGAGGACCATAGTGCTGGGAGTGTGGAAAGCCAGGCTGTCCCCAGCACACACAGAGTGACTGATTCCAAGTTCCATCCACTCCATGCAAAGATGGGTGTCATTAAAAAAGGCCATGCCAGAGACAGTCAGCGTTACAAAGTTGACTATGAGTCACAGAGCACAGACACCCAGAACTTCTCCTCTGAGTCTAAGCGGGAGACAGAATACGTGAGAATTTTTCCTCTTGTTGGGGGTGGGGAAAGAAGGGAACACCCCAAGTCAGCCTTCATGCAGCAAGTCCCAGGAGTCCTAGCTGTTGAATTGGCAGCTCCTCCCTTTCTGTGTCAAGCCCCACCTCCTATGGAGAGTCTCTGTCGAGGTTCGAGCTGAATTGTACTAAGTGTGTAGTGGGCCCAAAGAAACAGACTTCTCACAGATGACTTTATTTTATTCAGCAGACTTTCCGAAGCCTACTGGCCTATTCTTAGATCATGTGTTGTACCCTGAGAAAGCAGAAGAGACAGGGAGTGATGGTTAGCATCCTCCTGGGACCCTCTCTTTCCCCCAAGCAGAATGTCCTAGAGAGTCATGTCTAAGGTTCCTCTTGGGATGGTCCTGTGGCCACTGGGAGTTTGTCAAACAATAACTGTGTCCTCAGGGCCCCTGCCGCAGAGAAATGGAAGACACACTGAATCATCTGAAGTTCCTCAATGTTTTGAGTCCCAGAGGTGTCCACATCCCAAACTGTGACAAGAAGGGGTTCTATAAGAAGAAGCAGGTGAGTGGGGTCCCCAGGGTGTTTTATCCCTCCTTTCTCCATTGGCTCGGTGGGGAATCAGCATCACAGTTATCTCCAGGAACCTCAACCGCTGTGGTGCTCTGCCAGCTTGTGTCTCCTCTTCTGATACACACATGCATCACCTAATGGCAATATTTTAGGTGCTTTCTAATTGGGTTAGCTCACAACTCCTAAGAGACAGACGTAAACAGTGCTCAGCACATTTTGTCCACATCCCAAGATGTGGGTAGTCTTCATCAAGGAGCCTGAGTGTCTGCACCATCCATTGACTAGCTCAGCACACTTCCACTAAGGAGCGACCAGAGGTGAGGCTGGACCCTAGGTCTGAGAGATCCATCCTGACAGCCATAAGACAAAGAAAGTTCAGCAACCCCTCCAGCTTCCCCAGAGAGGTTACAGCACGCACATTGTGTACATCCATGTACACCACCACCTACCCATGGGTGGCTCTTCAGGAGTTGTGACCATCATATTTTACCTCCGTCCAGATGAACAACGATAGATAATCACTTTGGACCCTGGTTACCTGCTCACACACAGTGTCTTGGTTAGGGTTTCTATTGCTAGGAAAAGGATCTTGACTAAAAGCAGCTATGGAGGAAAGGGTTTATTTCACTTACACTTTCAAATCACAGTCCATCCCTGAAGAACATCACGACTGGAACTGCCGCAAAGGCCATGCAGGAGCTCTGCTCACTGCCTTGCTCCCCATGGCTTGAGCAGCCAGCTCTCTTATAGCACCCAGGACCACATGCCAAGGGGTGGCCCTGTCCGCAGAGCTAGGCCCTCCCACATCAATCATTAATCAACAAAATGCATTGTCTGGTGGGGACATTTTCTCAGCTGAGGTTTCCTCTTCCCAAATGACTTTAGCTTGTGTCAAGTTGACATAAAACTTGCCAATGCACATGATATTCATGTCCTGGTCTTGTCTCTCCCTCCCTCAGTGCCGCCCATCCAAAGGCAGAAAGCGGGGCTTCTGCTGGTGTGTGGACAAGTATGGACAACCCTTGCCTGGCTATGACACCAAGGGGAAAGATGACGTTCACTGCCTCAGTGTGCAGAGCCAGTAGATGCCACTGTGCCACGTAAGCCAAGGGTTAGACCTGGAGGTCAGTGCCTTCTGAAAATGGTCCTCTACCTCTACCAGTGTGTGTCTTACTCTTTTTATTTTTCCTTTTAGTTGACGTGGAGCTCAAATACGCCTTATTTTGCACAAAAGACTGCCAACAACATGATCAGCAGCTGGCTACAGCCTTGACTTATATTTCCTTTTTTTGTGGTGAACTGATTAAAAACAAAAACAAAAACAAAAAAAAACCAAAGTTTAGACAGATTTTCAAAATGCCTCTGGTTGTTTAAGTAGTAAACTTGATCATCTTTCTACTCTCCAGTAGTCAACAAAAAGCAGTTTGAATTTTCCTGTTGCTTCCTATGAAAACACTCATGTACTCCAGGCCACGGATGCCCTCTCCCCCCTAACCCACACACCCGATGCAGGGCTCCAAAGCTGCTGGCCCTCTGCCTTCTTGACTTCAGAGGTTTTGTTGCTGATATGGAAAAATCCTCTTTCCATTCCCTATAAATGAGTGCAGGCACTATGGAGAATGGGGAAAACCCTAACCAAGTCACCAGGACATCTGGACACACTCCTGAGGCTCATGGTCCTTATGGTGTCATCTCTGAATTAAGGGCCTGGCCCATTATCTGCAAGTGACCTGGTCTACTTGGGAGCCATGGGAGAGAATAGATCAAGTCTCTCTTATTTAAAATGACCAAGAATGTTCTAAGGCACTCTGGGAGCCCATAAAAACAAGGACGAGGACCTTCCTTTGTCAGGCAGCTTCCTGATGGCTTGGCCCAGCAGAGGGCCCCAGGTGGGAGGAGCAGTGAACGTCAGCCTCCAGGTTCAGAGATGTCACAAACAATGGTACAGTTAGTTCTTCGGATGATTTAAAAAAAGACAGTGTTTTCTTGTCCAACTTCTCAAAGTTTATTGTGGGGTGGGGGCAAGCTTTTTTGTTTAAGGAAAAAAAAAACGGTTTATTTTCCCCTCCTTCCTGTCTAAGCAGGAAAGAGGAATGACTTGTTGGATAGCCTGGCAAGACCACCCAGAGAATCACCCATTTGTTGATCTTGGGGTCCTTCTCAGACTTCTTTATAATTCACGCATATATGCAGACAAAATACATTCATAATTGTTAACAGTGTATATGACATAGCCCAAGTATAATAGAATCTGTACTAGATAGTCCTAGGTGAAATGTTAGAGATGTTAGGTGATGTAACCACGGGCACGCCCGAGGGTAGGAGCCCGTGTCTGGAGGCTGGGCTGCTCTCCCCAAGGCCAAGGCCAAGGAGGTCTGGCAATAGAGGGTGCGAGGAGACTGCACTGCGTCCCACGGGGTGGACATGCGCTGTACAGAGCTTGTCTTGAGAGCACAAAGAAATCTCAAGACATTCTGCCTGCCTATCAGCTTTTCTTTATTTTTTTAATTAAGTTTCTGGGGGAAAATGTATTTTTGAAAAGTTTGTCTTGCAATGTATTTATAAATAGTAAATAAAGTTTTTATCATTTAAAAAATGCCCTTCTTTTGTTTGCTTCTGGGTCTTGAGTCACTGGAGACATCACTCTGAGAGGGTAGAATCTTCTAGACATAGTAGAAAATGCCATGAACATGCTGAGACATCATAGATGAGTTCATCTCTAACAAAAGAATCTCAGTGGGACAGCTGCCGGGACCTTCTTTGGCATCCATGCAGTATCAGGCCACACGCAGAGGAAAATATAGGTACAGGGGGTTGTGTTGGTGGTTATTATGGTCTAGACAGGTAAAGTAGGTTGTCGCCATGACAGTCTGGTCCTTGCCTCTGCAGCTTCCCCACAGCAGCTGATGTGAATGATAAGATGGGTACATCCTATGAGTCACTAGCCTTTCTGCCCCTGAGTACTTGGAGAAGGAAAGTGAACTGAATCCAGAAAAGGAGGAGAACTGCAAAGGATGCTAGGGGGGCTTCTGGTACCTCAGTCCCTCTCTATGGCTTTGGCACAACTGTCCTTGCCAAAAGAATTCCAAGTACATCCTGGGACTATGACATCAAACCACACACAGTAATTGCCTGTTTAGGGTCATGTTTAAAGTCAGTCAACAGACATCTGAAGTGATCTCAGAATCACAGAGTTGGCCACAACAGGCAGTGAATTGGTTCTATGGGTATTCCGAGATCTGGGGGTGTGCAGTATGACAATAGGGTGGGAACCAAGGAACTCGGAGGGCATCACCCTTGGAGTGCTGTACTGCTGGCGCTTGGAGAGAGTGCACTGAACTCACTTGGGGTGGAGTGACAGCATACACTGGCCACCAAGTGCCCTAAAGCCAGATCCAGAGTGCAGCCATCACCCTCACGTTTGAGCCCCTAGGAATACAGGACAGAAACTTGGCAGGCCATTTGGTGCCATTGCAGAGGTGTGAGCCACATGGTGATGCTTATAAACCCAGTGGGCTAACCTCCCTGGAGCTACCAATTCACCCACCCTTCCTTGACCCCACCCTTTTACCTCTGACCTTTCCCCTGTCCATGCTTGTGATGATCAGTTCCTCATATCAGCTTGGCCAGGCCAAAATGTGTACAAAGTTAACATCATTTCAGGTATGTTTGTGAGTGCCTCCAGATGAGATGCGCAGACTGACTGACTCCCAGGCACCTCCCACCACCACCCCGAACATTAGCTGTATATTGTGCAATCTGCTCAGAGTCTGAATAAAAAAAAAATGGGAGAGTGGAGATTCAAACCATTCTTCCTTCCTATCTGGAACATTTTATCTTCTCTGGCCCTTAAAGTGAAAATTATGTCATCAAATCCCCTGTGTTCAGGTTCTTAGCCTCAGACTGATCACACTACCAGCCTTCCTGTGGTAGGTGCTGGGACTTCTCAGCCTCCCTTGCACATGAGCCAATTCTTTGCAATAAATCTCCACTGACAGGTAGGTGAGGGATTGATTGACAGATGGAATTAAAAGTCGGACAAATAGATCATTGAGGACTAAGTGTATGCTAGGTACTATACAGTGAGATGGTTGATAAGTGATAAATAGGTAGAGCTAAGGAAATGTTTGGTAGCAAAGCACTTGCCTTGTGAGTATGATGCCCTGAGTTCGTTTGCCATATAAAAGATAAAGAGCTAGAGAAACAAATGACAGATACTTAAGTACCAATGGGTGACAGGTCATAGACAGATGTGTGTAACCCACTGTCTCTGTGGAGAGTTAATAATACCTTTGAGCAAGTCCTCTTTCAATGCTCTCCTAAGCCCTTTAAGGACTCATGCCCGCCTGCATTTCCTCTTGCCCCCTCTTCATCTGCCTCCTCCCAGCCTCCCAGCCCGAAGCTCCTATGGCTCTCTGTCTTCTCCTTGGCTACCCTCCACCCTCTTAGGGGTTAGCCGTCACCCATCCTAAAGGTTACTGTGCCCAGCGACCTTATACACATAGGGAAATGGGAGATGCCTGGTTCCCTGGAATAGAGGCAGTGGAGAGGCCTCAGCTTCCCTTTCAGACATCAGCAGGCAGGGCTGGAGGCAACCTGAGTAGGATAATCTGGGATAAGCTATGGAAAGATGGGGAGCCAGGAGCCAGGAACAGTTAGCAGGTGGAGGAGCAAGCATCATGCAAGACAGTGTCTGACAAGCCCGCTGGGTCAGTTTTGAGAAACAGGCAATGGAGGGGGTAGAGAAGACAGCTATGGCTGGGGCTCTGGCCTGGAAACTGGAAGGAGAGGAGCAGCGTGTTATGCTGACAGAGGTGGATGGAAACTCCAGGAGGGTGAGAAGGCTAGAGAACAAAAACAGTGCAAGAGGTGGTGTTGTGGCCCTGAGCATTTGGAAGCCTTCGGCAGGAGAATTGCTGTGACTTCTAGACCAGCCTGGGTTACAGAGTAAGACCCTGTCTCAAAAGCAAGAGAAGCCGGTGACTACTTGCCTGTATCTGTATTTCAGCTGGAGGAAAGCTGAACCTACTCATAAGTTGGAGAGTGTTGAGGAGAGGAGAGGCTGAGGGCTCTGGAGAGAAAGAGAGGTGCACTGAGAGAGTAGGGGATCACTAGTGTGGCCCAGACAGAGGCCTGATGCTGTCTGGAAACAACACCATCTATCACATTATCTAACCCCAAAGCACAGACTCGGAGTCAGAGTAGGGTGAAAGATACAGAGATCACAGGATGATGAAGAGAGCACTCCACAGGGACAACAGTATTTCCAGGTAGAGTCTTTATTCCAGATATGTGTTTAAAAATGCACCAGATGCAGGCTTCCACATTTAGCTTTGTTTACATAATCAACATCTTAACTTTCCCCAACAAATGGGCTTCAGACACAGATTTGTGGCTGCAGAGAGAAGATCATGGGCTAACTTCCCTCCTTAAACCCACTGGAAAACTCCCTACCGCAGACTGACTTGTGCATATTCTGGCAGTATCACTGCCCTTTCAAAACAGAAGAATGGAGTTTGAAACAGCTGAGACCTTGTATTTACATATGTGGTGATGAGAAGTGCTTCATGATATATAAATTAATATAGCACAAGTAACTGTGTAGAAAAACATAAACTTACAGTGAATAAATAAGAACCAACTTCATATATCAAGCAGTATAAAAAGTAGTTCCTGGATATATACATATACACATATATAAAAAGGTGTGCTCCAGAATATAAATATACTATGTACTTAAATATTTTGTGTGAGACAATACGTGTAGAGGTCTTCAGTTTTGTACATTGAAATACTGGTGGCAGTTGGGGTCCCCTCTGATTTCCAAAGACCCAGGGATCTTCTTCCCACTCCACGGATAGACACACCAGCAGAGTCCTGCTTCTCCATCCAGGGATGTCTCACACTGTAAAGACAGGACCAAAGTCAAGAGCAGCAGGCAGAGGGAGCTCGGGCCACCCTGTCCCTGAGAGGGGCTGAACACTGCACAGCCACCTACTAGCTAAGACTCAGCAATGCCAATGCCTTTCTGGTTGCTATGACAAAATGGATACACTGGCTAAGTGGCACATGTGATAATGATCACATACATTCATTTAATGGTACAGTGTTTTGACAATTATCTCTTTGTGGCCCTGCTGACAAAGGAGCTCAGCAATGGGTCTCCAATCACCTTCATCGCTCAGCTGGGCCTAGACCTCAGGTTTTCTCAATGAAATCCTAGAAGTCTCTCTTCTCTGAGTCCTAAATTCTCCTCAGAATTAAGCCTTGATTTGTTGGATCTCAAGTTATTACTGGGTGTAGCACAAAGCCCTACTGTACTGTACTACAGAGTTTGTTTTAATTTGTGGGAAGAGAGAAAGTGGGACATCTGTCTCCTGAGTTGACTGTGTTCCTTTCCTCTAGTTGCAAGGAACTGAAACTTGAGTGTCAGAATTTGGAGCACCCATCGCTATTGATTTGAGTGAAGGTAGACCCTCTACTGGCTGAAGTGCTCCTCATCATCACGCTAATACTTAGTCCTCACTACTGGCTGACGTGCTCCTGGCTCATCATACTAGTGCTCAATCCCCCCTACTAGCTGAATAGCTCCTCATCTGTCACACTAACCTCTTTTTCAGGACTAGGTTCTCCCAACTGTGCATGGATGGCTGTCATGTAAGAAAGTTGTGTATTTGTGCCTATAAGTCATTGTATGTAAAACCCATGAGGCTTGCTGGCATACGAGAACACGCAGTAGCAAAGCCACCTACCTGTTTGCTGTGATAAAATCCATTCTTGTTGCAGTTTGGCAGATAAAATTTGTAGATTTCATCTCCTGCTTTCTGTTGAGCTGCAGCTAACCTCTCCAGCACTTTATAGAGTTCTCGTTGGCAGGGCTCCTGAAAGAATAATTTTATATTAGCAAGAATATAAGAAAATAGATATATTTTAGACAATGGCTGTAACAGAAATGGCCCCCACCAGCTAGTCATGGTATCCTAGGGCTGTCCCCAGGCCTTGTTTCCCATCTGTGGTCTCAGGCTTGAGCTGTGTGTATAAAGGATCAGAACAACATCTACTCCTCACTGGGTGGCATTTTCTAAAGACCAACTTAGTGACGTCCTGGCAAGAGCCTGGCCGATGGTATGAAATACTTCCTGACCCCTGCCGCCTGCTGAGTAATTTGGGCACCTGCACTCTAGTAGGAATGACAGTAGACTCAATCTCTGTATGTGGAATTTAGCATCAGAAATACCTAAATTTTGGGACTGTCCTTGCAATTGACACATGTCACATTCATGGTGGAGCAAGGCACTCATCTGGATCGCTTAAGACCAGAATGAGATTTCTTATACTTACCATAATTTCCAGATGAAATTCCAATGTGTCCCTAAAAATTATTTCACTTCTTTGAGTGTAATGTTCTTTTAAGGCCTCATTAACAATCTATCTCAAACTTTGGTTTTCTGTCGCCCCCAAGTGGTCACGTTAAAACCAGCCACTAACCTCGAGTAGTTAGTTCTCGCTGGGTTAAGAATTGGAGGGGGAAGAAGAGAGCAGAATGGTGGGGAAAATTGCTGAATGTAGTGACAAAGAAACCTAAACTGGAAATGGCCTGTTTTATGCTTTATGTGTTTTGCCATATTTTTAAAGAGGGATGGGGGGAGTTGTGTCTCTATGCTCAGTTTCAGTATGCGCATTGCTTTTTAGAAATTGTCTAGACTAACATCTTCACTTAGGGATAAGCTCAAGGATCCACTGCACAGCCTCACCTTCCATTTCTTGAGGTCAGCAATCTGTCGAGCCCGGATGCTGTTGTAGGTGCTGATGGCATTCCACAGGATGGGCCGGTCCTCACTGGAGGGGGCCATCAAATGGAAGCTCTCCAGGAGCTGCTCCTCTGTCATCTCTGGGCTCTCGGGAAGCTCATCCTCGGGTACCACAGCAGCTTTTGCCTCTGAAAAGCAAGCACCACAGACCCATGAGCTCCTGGAAGCATCGCTCCTGTGCTCAGGGACATCTTCCCCTTAGAATCAACCAACCTAGAATGGCTGGTGAAATTGGATGTTTCATCAGTGGCTTTTGGGAATAATTACGACTAAAGAGAAATACTAATTCTTTTCTGGGAAAATAGTATGTGTCCGGGTGAGGCAGGAGAGCCCCGTGGCAGAGTAAGCATCATGGACAATAGGGTGGGGTCGAGAGAGGAATACAACCCTGAAGAAGCCAAGGACTAGGGTCAATGCCTACACCCACTAGTGGTGAGACTCATCCCTTGGCTCTCCTCTCAACTCTACAAAAATAGTCTAGTAAGACCCCAGGAATAGGTGTAGTTCAGTTAGAAGCAAGTTCTGGGATGCAGCCTTCCTCACCAAGACCACCACCCTCCTCTCTCCTGGAACCCTGCTTTCCCACACATCGTCAGCTCTATGCATCCCTCACAGAGAAGGCCATCTTAAGACACCTTGCAGACAGAGCCTATAAAGGCTCATGGGAAGAAACAATGGAGGATCCCGGCCCCATGGAGGGGTAGTCAGTTTCAGAGGACCGACCACTGGGATAGCTCTCATTTCATATACTCGAAAGGGTCACATGCTTGCAGTACAACTTCCAATCGGAGTATGGAAGAAGGAGAGCCCTCCACACCCACACAGGACGTGCATGCAGCCCAGATGCGGAGATAGGGGCTGCAGGGGAGGAAGAGGAATTTCCCAAGCTTCCTACTACAAACAAACCAGTGCTTAAATTCAGGAAAGCACCCGATTGTCAGACTCCTAGCAGGCAACATACACATCAAACACTGTTTGTCTATAGCAATGAATGGAAGCGAAGGTCTGGGCCTAAATTTTCACATTATGTTCTGTAAACATCTGGGAAGCACATACTGTGTGACAGGATATATGCTACAAAGGACATTGCAAACCTCCTGGGGGCAGCGGGAGGGCTCCCATCCTAAAACCTTCCAGGACCCTCCAGCCGCTGGAACTGCCAAGGGCAAAACCCACAGGAGGAGGTGTTAGGTGCTTGGGCCAGCATCTCACCCAGCTGGCAGCTCCATGGCTCCCTCCACACCACCAAGAAACTACTACTAGTCTGTGAACTTTCTTCCCAGCTCTCCACTAAGCTCTGGGCTCTTGGACCACCCTTCCTGGGATATTTTCCCCCAAGACCAATCAACGATGGGCCTCAGTGGGTGATTTGTTTGTCCATCATAGCTGAAAGCTTTTAAGTGGGCCTGGAATGTCTTTGCCCCACCCACTACAGGCTTGGGATAGGCCTCTGCTGGCAGAGGATGTGTGTGTGTCCCAGCCAAGAGATCTAGAAGTAGAGAGGGGCATACCTTCGCGCTCGGAGCTCGACAAGGTTCTTGTGGCAGGGGCAGCAGGCTCTGGTACACAGGCTCCCTGGCCGCGGGTAAGAGCATGCAGGGGACGAGGCTCCCCTGGCAGCGCACGGCAGCTGAGTCCCTGGGCACAGCGGGCAGTGGCCACACCGCAGGCGGCGCCCAGTGGCAAGGCACATGTCGGGCAGCAGCCACAGCCAGCAGGCCGGGAAATCTCAGGGCACGAAGCTGGCACCGGTGGACAGAGCTCCAGTCTCTCAGCAGTGCAGGGAGCACAACGCCATGGCTGGGAGGCTCCAGTGGTCATGCCAACCTGGAAGGCTAGAAGGATCAGGATCCGACAAGAAACCACAGCTAGGAACTCAGGCATTGCAATCCAGTGCAGCAGGCAATGGATGAGACTTTCTTGGCAGGCAACAGTGGCGCAGTGCTGGCAACTCTCTGGGCAGGCGGTAGTGACAACAACGGTGGTCACAGCTCTCTGAGCAGGTGGCCGTGTGCGGTGTTCAATGCTCGCTGGATGTGTGGTGGCGGGCAGTGGACGATGCTGGCTGGTTGTATCCAGAGCCTTATAAAGGGCTGGCTCGGAGGCACAGGTTAATGATTGTAGGGGCAGCGTGCTAGGATCCCAGTGTTCAAAATAAGTTTGTTTTGCTTGTGAGCTCTGCGCAAACCGTGGGTGGAAGGGGGTGGGGGGGGGAATCAGGTTTCCTACTATGTTTGTCCTGTTGTGATGGACTGGGACAGGAGCTAAAGTCCAATTCTAACAGCGAGCTGGTAGCCAGATGGGGGAGGGCACTTGTTTTTGTTCAAGGGGCATCAAAGACCTAGCCGACAAGGCTCTTCAAGTGGACTCAAGGAAAGCTAAGAGACTAAGGAAGGACACGTTAGGCCAAGAAGGCTTCAGGCCCCAAAGGGAGGGACACACGTGGGATTCTCTGTAAGAAAGCTCACAGTTGTTTCTGCTCCTGGAGAAGCCCCTAGCCAGCAAGGAAAGAAATCCATAGTTCACCTCAGGACTCTATGATGGCTGGAACTTCAAAAGAAAAATGACCCTTCCCCTAAAGAGGAAAACGGCCCAGGGCCTCAGGAACCTGTTACTATGCCTATGGAGTCAGTCTAGTTCTAGCTTGGGTGAAATGCTTATGTATGATACCGTATGAGAGCTTTCTCTGAACCATTTCTTCTTCTTTTATATTACAAGGAAAAGTTAGAAACCTTTAAGGGCAACCAGAAATGGGACACACCCTGGAAGTTCCCCAGAGTAAACTGATCAGCTCCCCCATTGTCTTGTGTGTCCTCTGTATCCCAGGTCCAGATTTTACCTCTGACCAACCTTCACCTCTACCTCCAGACCCAGATGTTCAGAGCAACCAACCTCTAGCAATGGTTTGAACCCTCTTGTTTGCCCTTCATGGTATTAGTTTGGAGTGGGGTGGAATACTTCAAACTACCCTGGTTCATATAGCAGTCTATCCCTTCCAGGGCTTTTAAAAGTGGTATTTCAGACCTGGCTCAAGAAGAGGACACTGAAGACAAAGGTTGCAGGAGATTTCAAGTCAAGGTCACAGAGACTGCACTGGACATCCTGTACAAAAACTCTAATCCCTGTTACCCAGCAGTTCATCACTGCTCCCAGCATTTGAGCCTTGGGAAATGGGTTTCTGGGTGACTTGACTAAAGCACTCTAAACACATGTACACTGATGCATCACCTACCGACGGTCATTCTTACACTCGAAGGAACCAGTTTAGCTGCCCACTACAGAGCAGGTATGAGGGGAGATGTCAATGGTGACTGACAGGTTCCTGAATTCGAGCCACAGCCAAAGCTTTGACAGATAAGAAATATAATGCCAAGGGCCAGAGAGATGGGCCAGTGGGCCATAGTGAACAGCAGAGCACTTGCCAGGAGGTAGGACTCATGGGTGGGAGTTGAGGAATGTGGAGGATTATGCCAGGTAAGGGGCTGGGGAGATTTCCAGGAGGGCTAGAGGATTTAGGAACTAGAGTCCACCACACAGCAATAGGCAACAGGTGCAGGCTGACTGTTCACACCCAACCACAGAAGCACCCTTCTTGATTCACCAGAGAGGGTCAGGGGAGTTGTACCAGCTTGCTTCTGGCGCCACCAATGCACTGCCACTGTGGACATCACCAAAGGATCTGGCTGGGAAGAGAAAGGGATTCTGAAGCCCAGATAGCAGAGGTCTGTGCACGCCTGTAGATGCAGATGATGAGATGGGTGTGAGAACTCACTCTAAAGCTGCTCCACACACAGCCTACGTGTCCAGTTAGACAGTTAACTCTGTGTTTCCTTCTAGAAAACCTTTGCGATAGGCATTCTTCAGTTATAGAAAACCTCCATACTAAGAAACATTGGGTGGTTCGGTGCACAAGAGCAGCCGTGATTCTGAAGGTATTGAATGTCTTGAGAAGAATGCAGAACAATGGGCAGGATGACTACCAGGGCAGAGCATGATTTAGGAGCCTGAGGACACATTGCTTTTTCCTATACCCTTTCTTAGCCTTCTAGATCTGTACCATGTGCTTATGATATATAAATAACCACAATGGGCTTCAGATACAGGTGAGGGATAGAAAGCTTCCCTGACATGCACAAGGCCCAGGGTTCGAAACCCCAGGTCTGAAAAAAGAATATGGGATTACCCTGATAACCATCCCCCAGCTCCCTGACCTCATAAAAGTGACTGAACTTTGCAAAGCTGGCTTTTGTTCAACTTGGACAGTCTCAAAGAAATGCAGCTGGATCAACATCTGCCATAGCAACTGGAGTAAGGTCAGGGGACAAACCTGCTTCCAGACACTCACAATCTCATTAGTGTGTCTCTCATTGTTTTTGTTTGTTCATTTATTTATCTATTTGAAATAGGGTCTCACAATACAATGTGGACTGGGCTCAAACACACAGCAATCCTCCTGCCTTAGCTTCCTGGATACTAGGATCAAATAGTGTGCTACCACACCCAGATATGCCTTTTATTTTTCTGACAAAGGTGCCCTAAGTCCAGCGCTTTGTTAAGGAATTGATCAAATGATTCCCATTTTAAGGCATTTCTATTTTAAACAAACATTCTCTTTTTAAGACTGTTTCTGACTATGTATGTGTATGGCAGAAGAGTTTGTGTGCATCTGAGTGCAGGTGCTCTTGGAGACCAGAAGAGGGCGTCAGATCCACATGGAGTTCCAGGTGGTTGTGAGCCACCAACTGAATTCAGGTCCTCTACAAGAACAGTACACCATATCGCTCCAGCCCCTAACATTTACTTGTAAGTTATTTTATTTTTTTATTTATTTTTTATGTTTTTAACTGCAAGTTATTTTAAATAAATAGCTTGGATGTAAGTCCCTAAATAAGTTTATTTCTGGAAGTGGAATTTATGCTCCTAAGTTTCCCTTTGACTTCCTCAACTTGTAATCACTGTCCACACTGGAAATGTTTCCTTAATGAAACACAGGGAAGGCACAACACTGACAAATGTTTGCGACTCTGTGCCAGGCAGGAGCCAGGGCCCTGAGCCATTAGTTTCCTCTGCTGCACACTTGCCCAGCACACATCCAATTGTCCCTCCCCTGCTCCTGCACATAGTGGCTCTTCTTTCTCTCCAATGATCGATTCCCCCAATGTTTCCATTGCTTACCTCACAAGCACACAAACCAAACAGCCACCAAACTCCACATTGATTCCAAACTCTGTCAACACAAATGAAATCAACCCCCATCCCACCCGCAGGCCTATGTCGACAGCCAGTTTCATTGGCCTGTGCTGCATGGGGTGGGGTGACTGGCCCCTCTCCCAAGTCACAGCATGACTCAACCACTCTTGCCTACCTCTAACCCTGAACCTGGGAAACCCGCTCATTTTCCAAGGAGATGCCGCACCCCCTTGCTTATTCACTGAAAGCAATGCAATTTCACTGCCACACTGGAGCTCTGCATTTTCACACTGGCATTCCCATTGTCCATTTAACTTTATATCTTTGTCCATGGTGTTCCGTCTCCCCCAGAAGCTGTCTTTCAAGACTGCTGTGACGTCAAGTGACAGATGACACTTCCTCCCAGCTTCTTAGCTGTTTGCTCCCTGAGCCTCTGTCTGTATGCCCTTCCTCACCACACTGTGGAGCAGAGAGAACAGACTTCTGTGAGAGGGAGACAGAGTCAGACATAGGAAAGAAGGGTGATAGATGTTCCAAACATAGTCACAATCTAGCATGCTCACAGCCCAGCACGCTGGCAGCCTATGGGGGCTCCTAAGTTCATCCTGTGCTTCCCAAGGAGGAAGGAGGAGAGTAACCACAAAGTCTGGGCACCTCAAGGACAAGGTGATGGCACAGCTGCTCTTGGAGGAAAAGGATGTCCTCCAAACAGCAAAGGTTGGAGTGACATGACAGAGATAGCAGAAGGCAAAAGAACTCACCACACTCAGTGGGCCCTGAGAATAGCCAGCAATTTCTCTGCCTGGAAGCACAGAATACTCAGGAGTCTAAGCATGCTGACCTGCCAAAGCCTTTAGAAGGGTTGAAAAACTTGAATTTGGAGTAATCATCAGGAATGTGATGGGTACCCTATAAGCAATTGTGCATTTCAAGAGCTAAGATTCATGAATGGCAGACTGGCAGTCACCAGGGCTATTAGAGCAGGAGAACAATGATTTTGTTTGGTTTTGATTTGGGGTATTGTTTTGTTTTGTTTTATTGGGCCAGGGTCTCACATTGTTCAGGCTGCCCTTGAACTTATTACATACCTAATGCTGGTCTGAAACTCCTAATCGTCCTGCCACCACCTCCCAAGTACTGCCATTCTGGGCATGTGCCACCCTGCCTGTCTAGTGTCTTGTGGATGCTTGTGACATGCAGCTGGTGCTAGGAGGGGGTGCCTAGGTGCTAACAGGTTTCAGTATGACCTGCTAGGGTGAAACTCCTATTTTATCCGAATCAAAGTCTTGTATGTCCTGCACACACAGGCATTCCCTCCTGCTTTGTTTTTGTAAATTCAGAGTACTGCAGAGGAAAGGTATTAACAAAGGTCGACAGAGATATTTGCACGATGATCCCAGTCCATACTCCAGAGGGAGCTGTGTGAACAGAAACACTCGGGCATCTCCCTCAATGATTCTTCACACCTCTGCCTTTTTGTTTTGACAGCTTCTACAATGCTGTTGAATGTCACATGTGAAAACCTCAGCTCCAACAGTTGTATTAGCACCAGAAGAGGAGGGTCCTATGGGAGCAAAAGTTGGCATTTTCACTTCAAATTTCCTCATCCCAGTATATCACACAATCAAGGCTGTAAGGAGGAGCTGAAGGGACCCTTGGCAACATGGCTGCTACAAAACTGTGAGCTGATAGCT